CTTAGGCTACGACCTCGTTCGTGCGAATTAAAGGGGACGAATCGATCGGCATTCGCTCGCACTCCGCACAATAACCACTACCGATCGGGAACAATGACAGAGCCATTGTAAAAAGTAGCGTCCAATTAATAAATCAAGCGTCTCTATCCTTATAAATCTCATTGTTCGATAAGCCGATATTAATGAAGCGTCAGGATGCCGTGAGCGCAGGCGGATTAACATTTTGGGGAGGGGGGGGGGATGAAGGAGCGGTGGTGTACGGAAGGTGAGGAGAAGAGCCGAATGAAAAGGATCGCGGTAAGGGCTTGAGAGAAATGAGCAATATGTGTGTCTGAATGTCGCCAGGACCACGCGACGAAGGAGAAGGCGCTCCGGACAATGTCGAGCATGTCGAGCGCCCAGATCGTGTCGGCCGGCAGCGCGATACACAACAAGATGCCCCCCGCCCTGGTCGGGCCTTTAACCGTTCACGCGTCCACCCCCGTCTCTTATCCCGGAGCGGTAAGTCCGCAGTTCATTGTGTCGAAAGCCGAAGGAGCGCGTGTTACGGCCACTACAATCAAAATCCTCTTCGCAATCAAGTGCTTGTGGCCCTTTTCACTCTCTCTCTATCTCTCTCTCTCTCTCTCTCTCTCTCTCTCTCTCTCTCTCTCTCTGTCTGTCTGTTTGTCTGTCTGTCTTTATATTTAATGCTGCATCCGCCTCTATTACCATCATTCTTCGCTAAACGCTCAACAACATTAATTCTATTCCATTGTAGTATTTAGAATATTGTAGATCAATTTGTGAATTGAAAGTAAAAGTACAAGTATAAAAAGAACATTATCAAGTAATTAAATTAAGATTATATTTAAGGCTCTTATGACTAATAATTCCTCTAACATTAAAAGGAATTTTAGCTTTAAAAACCACAACAACAGTGATTGAAAGATATAAAATTTAATCAATTTATTAATTCTTTTATTATATATTTTTTTTTAATTATTGTAATTAAATCACTATAAAATACATTTTTCATATAATTAAAATAATCTTAAATAGAAATAATGGATTCTCTCGTTTTAATGTCTTTTAATTTTCTAATTAATATTCCCGATTATTAAAATCATAGTTAAAGATAATTTATATGGACGATTCTTACTAGTTCACAAATTTCATTATTACTACCCACAATTGCAAAGCAAAAAAGATTAAGAATTTATTATATTTTTTTAGTCTATATGTATATATATATGTACATATATAGAAAAATATATAGTAAATAGTATATAGTAGAATAGATATAATAGAAAAGAATAAATAAAATAGATATAATAGAATAGATATAATAGAAAAATATATAGTAAATACATATATAGTAAAAGTAGTCGTCGTAGTATCTTATGGAATAATAAAAACGAGATACTTACAAAGTGCAAAGATTGTTGATGCTGAACCGAACAAAAAAATTGCTTTTTAAACTTAATCGCTATTCTACTTATTATGCCAATTAAGCTAATAATTGCTTTTATAAATGTTTTGTTTGTTTTTTTCTTCATTTTTTACAATCCAAAACGTGAAAGAGAAAATTCATTAATGTTTTCTTGTGTTGAATGTCAGGCGTATAAAGGTTGGACCTAATTGTCTCTCGTTGACAATCATCCGACTAGTTTGGCTTCGTTATTATTTACTATTTTTGTTTTTATTTACTTTTTTATTTTATTTATTTTTTTTTTTGCATGCTTACAATTAATAAAAATGACTACAGGGCATATTTGTTCGCTTTGCTTTGCATTAATAACCAGCCTTATATGAAAAATAGCGAAACCCCATGTAAGATTCATTGGCATCTTAAAGAAGTACAATACTTGGCAGAGATCGGAAGTCCACGTGTTTTTATAACGAAGACCGAGGAAGGGCATAATTAGGTAAATAATGAGTAAGAGCAACAAAAGTACGGGCAAAGTAAAAGATGGATAATGTACATACGAGTGTCGATTTTTTTAATAACGCAGTCTCGTCCTACTTAGTCGTGCACGGGCCGCGTACACTTAAATTCAATTAGCATACAATAGTTTCTCATTGAGTGGAAATGCGACTTTCGTCGATACTCTTCGAGCTCCCTGCCCTTTCTCGTTTACACTCTTTTCACTCTTTTGAACTCGGAACGCAAGTGCGAGCTGCGCCGCTTTGTCTTCCTTACTTCTTTTCCCTCTTCCGCGTCCTTTTACTATTATCTTTTTGATTTTTCGTTTTGTTTTGTTTTTTTTTTTTTTTTTTTGTTTGTTTTTGTTGCGCCGTAATCCTTCTCGCAAACTTGTTTTGCTTCCTTTTCTCTCCCTCTGTCTATCCCCCCCCCTCTCTCTCTCTCTCTCTCTCTCTCTCTCTCTCTCATCTCTCTGCTCCTTTGAATATCCATAAAAGGAAGCACGGCGAGATAAAAGAGAAGTGAGGCGCAACGGAGACTAAGACGTCGAAGCATGACGAGGTTATGTTGTTTATTATTTCTTTTTATTTCTTCTTCTTCTTCTTTTCCCTTTCGTATACGAAGAAGAAAAAGTGATGCCGATTGGTAATTAGTAGGAAAAGGCTGTACGCTAGATCGCTTGAGTAATTTTAAAAAGAGTGACGATAGATTCGTAAGGATTTTTTATCATAATTAATTTAATGATTTCATGGATCATAGGCTCATCCACAAGCGCCACAGTCGGCTATAATAAAGTAACGAAGCTTTCGATTAATTATTTCAATAATGGCAATTTGTTGTAAAATCATCGCTTGGAGTTACGGAAAGTCTGCAGCAGTCGATCAAAAATTATTTGCCTTTCGAACGTAACGAATAAATAATCACTCGTTTGTAATCATAAATTTAAAACTTTTTTTTTTATTTTCGTCGCCCCGAGCCTGCATTATGCGTACATTATTTTTCATTCGTAATATATAATTTTACATCCACATCCGGTTCCGCATACTTTCCTAATTTATTCTTCATATTGTCTCGCAGGACCTTTAGCCGTCGAGCTATAAATCTTATAATAATACTATCTTATAATAGTGCTGCTTATACTTTACGTAATGAGATGCTAGCGATCAACAATTAAATATTTTCCACACTTTGGTACTTTTGTTACAACTGTCGTGCGTGTTGCTGAGATCCAGAGATATTTTCAACAAAAATATAAAAACGTCAGTTCTTAATTCGTAACGTGTAATAATCATTGGTATTGGTACTTTATGTAAGTCTCCAAAGGACTTGTCGAATAGTAAAAATTTGATAAACCCTTTTCTATTTTAATGACTTTAGATTAAGTTACAAAAAAAAAAAAAAAAGAAATACGACAAAGACGAAATGCAATCGTACTATTTAATTTTTCTCTTTGTTTAAAAATCATTAAATTCTAAACGTCGTTGATTGTTAATGTCACTCATTGTTAATCACACGATAATTATTATATTTTAAATGCATATAATCAAACTCTCTGAAATATTCTTAACATTTATTTATTTATTTATTTATTTGTTTATTTTTGTTGCTATTCTTCGCGTTTGATGCATTTTTGTGAAAAATATTCCTCCGTCGATACAATTGCTCACATTGTTATATGTTTTTTTTTTTTTTAACTTAGTAGATTATTAAGCGAATACTAATAAAACTTTGGTTTTATTTGGCAAATAAATTTTCAAAATTAGACGTAGAAATACACATTAAAATGCTATTAATTCATAATATGAAATATATTATTTTATTTACTTTTCTTCCTTCTATATTATAGTATTTTCCAAAACGTTACATAATTGTTAAAATGATTCTCATAGTATATGGAAATACTATTATTTGATATTATTTATTGTTTATTAAATAATAGTTTGTTTTTCCCCTTAATAACATTCGTTATCAAGCTACTGTACATAAAACTGATAAATATTTCTGAGAAATTTAACGTTGATATTTCGGGAAATTAGGGTGGTGGGCTCAGGTATTATACAGCACGACAAATCTTTAAAGAACTTTTACTAATAAAAAAAAAAAAAAATAAAAAAAAAAAAATAATGTATATAGCATTAAACATGACTGATGCATAATTCCTTTATTTTTGCAATAGATTTTTCGTAAAGTAGATAAATCAGAGTTATCGATCATATTATTTCCAGCACTGGTTGATAGTCAATAGACCCAAGTAGCATGCAAAAACGATGTTTGCAATGTATATGAAAATGTAAATAAATATAGTTTTACTAATGGAATTGGAGTGTGCAAACAACGGTGATTTAAGCACTGCAATTATTTTGCAAAGTGCAAAGAAAACAATCTAAATTCAATAAATTAAAATTAACACCTGCATACCAAGATCTTAATCTTTTAATGGAAATCATTGGTTTTTCAATGTGACACAGTGATGTGAATTAATAGCACCGATGGACGCGAAAAACACTGATTTCCATGTAAAAAAAAAAAAAGAAAGCAAATTTTTCTCTTAGGATGCTAACGCGCGCTTGTGTATTAATGTGCTGAGTATCGATAATAATTGCTAATATCGTTTTTAAACAGCATACGTACATAATAATACAATTGAAAGTTGAAAAATCAATGCGGTTTATAAACTATCTGACACTCCATTATCTCTCTCTCTCTCTCTCTCTCTCTCTCTCTCTCTCTCTTCGTTACCCAATAAGTTTGTCCGGTGCTCTACGGTTCAAGAATTGATAAATCCTTTCCTTACTATATAATCCTCCTACATAATGGACAGAAAGCGACGTGAACGACACGGATTTGATGATCGAAGCAAACGCGAGAATCAATCGAGTACCGCTAAGTCCAGCATTAACGAATAAATATCGCGGCCGCGGCCCCATTCTTTCCAACCAAAGGCCAAAGGCCAAAATAAAGAAGGATAGTAGAGATAATTTGCAAGTTATAGCTAGGATAATTAAAGCTGGGAATTAAGCCTCGTTGCGCTTAGCAACGATACGACGATAATTCGTAACAAATGCTCATATCCGCTTGTCGTTGCATTGCCCAGCAATTCTGGCAGCCGGGCTTGCAGCCGGGCACATCCCAGGATGTCAAGCCCTTCCCCCAGCCGGCGTACACCGGGAAGCCGGCGACGGCCGTGTCCAGCGGAGAGATGGTGCAGACCCAGCCGCCACCACCCTGGGAGGGCCGAGCCATCGCCACGCACAAGCTCAGGCTTGTCGAGTTCTCCGCATTCATGGAACAGCAAAGAGATCAAGATAACGTGAGTCTCCCTTTCTCTTATCAATAGTTTATTTATTCATTTGGCCATGTTGACCAGGCGATTGCTAGATTATCGATCGCTCGTATCAGCTTTAGTTGTAATTTCCGTCGAGAGGCTTTACAGAGCTTTACAGAGCTTTGCAGAAAGACAATTTTCGTTTGCTCATTAGTATTATTTTATCTTTTTTTCTATTTCTTTTGTTTTTTTTTTATCTTTTTTTTTTATTTTTTTTCTTTTTCTTTTTTTATTTTATTTTTTTTTTTCAATACCCCTACGGACTTGATAATAATCGGCTGAGATATCACCCGAGCTTTGAGAAATGAACGTATACTCTATGTCTTTAGCGAAAACTCGGATTATTCTATTTTCGTCGTCGATACCTCCATTACTATGGTCATTAATATTATTACTATTATTATTGTTGTTGTCGTTGTTATCATCATCGTCGTCGTCGTCGTCTTCATCATCATCATCATCATCATCATCATCATCATCATCATCATCATCATCATCATCATCATCATCATCATCATCATCATCATCATCATCATCATCATCATCATCATCATCATCATCATCATCATCATCATCATCATCATCATCATCATCATCATCATCATCATCATCATCATCATCATCATCATCATCATCATCATCATCATCATCATCATCATCATCATCATCATCATCATCATCATCATCATCATCATCATCATCATCATCATCATCATCATCATCATCATCATCATCATCATCATCATCATCATCATCATCATCATCATCATCATCATCATCATCATCATCATCATCATCATCATCATCATCATCATCATCATCATCATCATCATCATCATCATCATCATCATCATCATCATCATCATCATCATCATCATCATCATCATCATCATCATCATCATCATCATCATCATCATCATCATCATCATCATCATCATCATCATCATCATCATCATCATCATCATCATCATCATCATCATCATCATCATCATCATCATCATCATCATCATCATCATCATCATCATCATCATCATCATCATCATCATCATCATCATCATCATCATCATCATCATCATCATCATCATCATCATCATCATCATCATCATCATCATCATCATCATCATCATCATCATCATCATCATCATCATCATCATCATCATCATCATCATCATCATCATCATCATCATCATCATCATCATCATCATCATCATCATCATCATCATCATCATCATCATCATCATCATCATCATCATCATCATCATCATCATCATCATCATCATCATCATCATCATTATTAATTAAAGAAGCATAAACTAATAACAAGCCGAAAATCTAAGCACGCCAGTTTACTCATTAAATTTTTGTTGAAATATAACGAGTTGGTCTGTGCTAATGGAAAATGTGAAATTTCGCATAATTATACAAAGTTGTTTTATTACTTACGTCAGTTACATTATTAAAGTTTTTTCATCGCTGCTTTAACCTCCTGGACTAAAAAGTTGTTTATTTTATTGTTGAGTATTGTCGACGAGTGATATGTTTGTTTTATTAAAAATTTAATAAATAAAGTAATGATAGAGAGACGCAAGGAAGCTGTTTATCGTGTATTGAAAAATTCCAGGCTCATTAATAAATTAATCGCGCAAAGCTAATATCTGGGAGAATTATTCTATTTTTGATATTCTCAATGACGTCCAACGTGAGCAAACGAACGTTCGTCACACGACTTAGGCGATGTTCGCTTTTACCGTACCTACGAAACGAAATATTTCCCCGACAAGCCGAGATTGTTTTTCTTTTCCCTTTAAATTATTTTCACTTTAAATTCGCGCAAACCGCCGTCCAACCTAATCGCGTTACCGCTCCTCCTCCGCTTAACAATAGTCCGCGAATCGCAAAATGCCCGAGCACTTGGCTCACAATATAATTACTGGCATTGGCGCGGCCGTGCGTGCCGGGCTGTACTAGGTCGTAATAAATTTATGTGGCCGTTCGTCTATTAATCGTGCTGAAAATTGCGTGACGCGTGCGCGTGCGCGTTAACTCGCGAATCGAGGATGTCGGGCTCGCCGCGAGTCCAGCCAGCCCCAGGCACTAACGCTTTTGACCACGGCCGATGTTTTCAGTACCACAGGCACCTATTCGTCCACATAGGCGGCTCGGCGACCTACACCGATCCTCTCCTCGAGGCCGTCGACGTCAGGCAGATATACGACAAATTCCCGGAGAAGAAGGGCGGCCTCAAGGAGCTGTACGACAAGGGTCCGCAGGCCGCCTTCTTCCTCGTCAAATTCTGGGCTGATCTCAATACCAACATCCAGGACGAGGCCGGGGCGTTCTACGGCGTTACGAGCCAGTAAGTCTTGCGCTTGGCTAATCTCGCTCCTCCTTGCCACGCTCTCGGCATTATTTTAATTTCCGTTGCGCGCGATCTGCCGTGGGCGGATGTTGCTGAGAGGTTGGGAGACGACGCGAGTCATGGATTGATAGAGCGCGGCACCGAGGCCCGAGAGGCTAACAAGGGCCCAACAGGCTAATCCGTCGTTATTTCCATAGGTACGAGAGCAACGAGAACATGACGATAACGTGTTCGACAAAGGTCTGCTCGTTCGGCAAGCAGGTCGTCGAGAAAGTGGAGACGGAGTACGCAAGGTTCGAGAACGGAAGGTTCGTCTATCGCATAAGCCGTTCGCCCATGTGCGAGTATATGATCAACTTCATTCACAAGCTGAAGCACCTGCCGGAAAAGTACATGATGAACAGCGTCCTCGAAAACTTTACCATCCTGCAGGTGAGTGGAAACGCTCGTTACTCCCGAGCGTTTACGAGAATATTCGCTCGAAGGTGGTTGATCATGAATTACGTTCCCAAAGTTTTTCATAAGGCAAGCGGCTGCCGCGATCCTTTGCACTTTCGTCACATTTACGCAACATTTACGATTTTCAACGCTGACGACTCGTACGTTAGCGAATATTTTAACGCGAAGAAAATCGGTAGAGCGTCGATCGATGTCGATTGATGTCGATTGAATTTGTGAATTTGCCAGTCGGTTAGCTTGCGATAACGAGACGACATTCCACAGCCCTTTGCTGCACCACATTCGCATCATTCGCCCCCGCATTACTATTACTGTATAATTCGAGTGGGAGGATGTAAGCGGCGAGGTTCCTCCCGACGATGATCACCACCTTCCGCTAAGCCATTTGATAACACTGTGTATTGTTTTGTTTTTGCTTTCTGCCTTCGCCAGGTCGTGACTAACCGGGATACTCAAGAAACGTTACTCTGCACAGCGTACGTCTTCGAGGTCTCGACGTCTGGACACGGTGCTCAGCATCACATATACAGACTAGTCAAGGATTAGCCTTGATAATTCTGCTCGCCGTGCAGCCATCCACCCCCATCAGTGCCTATCACAAACACTAATCACGTACACGGGCTCGCCGCGAACGCGCTACTTGGCGTCGCCGTAACGAGCGCGAACGCACACGAGCGCGCGCGCGCACACACACACGTTCACACGTTCACACGCTCACACGCTCACACGCTCACACGCTCACTCGCTCGCTCACGCACTCGCGCACTCGCGCACGCACGCACGCACGCACACGACGCAGGGGAGCGCCTACAGGCAGACAATTTACTGACACGCGCACACGCACACGCACACGCACACGCACACGCACTACCAACCACGCCAACAACACGATGACAACAGGACAACATTATTACACCGGACAGGAGAGTCGACAGGACATGTGTAGCTAGATATATGTAAGAAGATATAGGAATTTTACGTTCGTTTACATAGATTATCATCGAGCGCGTAGAAGCAAAACTTTACAATGTGTGTTTAAAATGAATACGAGTATGCAGACACGAACACAAGTATATATGTACCCGCAAAACTCACGCATACGTGTGCACGCATGCACAAGCGCGTGCCAGCCAATCCGCAGAGATTCGTGTTTCGATCGAGGGTAATCGATAGGGAAGTTCGCGCACAAAGAGCAAAAGTTGGTGTTTCTTGAATATCGTCGTGTATTGCAGCAATTTCGCGGAGTTGATGAAACACGCGCCCTCGCGCATATCTATAATTTACATTCTTTCTTTTTCTTTTTCTTTCCCCCCCCCCTTTTTTTTTTTCTTTCGTTTATATATATATATATCTTATTATTGATCGAGCTTCTTCGTTCGATCAGGGGAGATAAATTGACAATAAAAATAAGTACGTGTGTTTATTTGCTTGCGTATGATGGTTTGTTATCGCGTAGGGGAAATAATTATCGTCATCTCGGAGCGGCTTGGCATGAACATGACTTTAGTATTATAATTTCATTCTTCTCAAATACACGGCAAATAAAAAGCAAACAGAACACAAACACTTGATTATACATATATTACATATAAGAGTATATGTATATGTTAAATATTAACGCAATGATTACGATTCGCATTGTTACGAACGATCGTGTATAAAGCAACATAAGTGATCTTTTAAGTTTATAAACAGACCGAAGGATAACGCTAAAGAGATGCCATTTGCGAATATCTAATAACGAATGAATTTTTAATAATCTCTGTTCTTTCTTACCATTTTAATCAATCAATGTCAGTGCAAAGAAAAGATGAGGAGACATCTATACTTTATACACATTTAACCACATTGTGCGGAGAGATTTAGCAGAGGAAAGCGTGCTCGTGCATTCTTTAATGCATCTCGAATCAAAGAAAAGAGCTTGTCGCGAAGCTACTTTAATCACGTTTTCGATTGTTTTTTTTTTCTTCTTTTTCTCCTTCTCCTTCTCCTTCTTCTTCTTCTTCTTCTTCTTCTTCTTCTATTCTTTAATGACGGATTTACCTATGCTACACTTCCGTGCAATCCCACCCACTTTTTAGGCATCGATGCGTAGTTTTAGGGAGATTTGTTTGTATTTCTTATAATCACCATTGTACTTCTTAAGGCTCCTGTTGTTTTTTTTTTTTTTTTTTTCTATAGTTCTTATACGTCGATGAATTTCTTACTTAGCGTACAGTTTGTTTTTACTTTTTATTACGTTTACAGAGACAATATTAGACCGTACTGCACTTTTTTCTGTATTTTTTTTTTTTTTATTTTTTTTTTTCCCCCGATAGACTACTGACTGTATTTGCGTTCGAGAAATCGTTGCTCAAGATTCGACTTTCGTACTTAAATAAGAGAAAACTCTAAGAAACTTGTCGACACATCTTCTTTGAGTGGCGATTTGGTTTTTCACGTTTGGAAAATCAACACGCTCTTAAACTTTTTTTTTTTTTTATACGATAAATAAAAAAAAAAAAGTAAATTTTTTTCATTCGCGTGTTTCTTTATCTCAAAGTCAGCGTCTTCTTTCGCAACAGAACTTGCCTTCCGAGCATTGAACACTAACATAAACAAGAAGGAAAATACACCTTACTTTAAGATTATGTTAATTTAATTACTGTACTGTTACTTTAATTAACGTTTATGAAACAAGTGGCAATGTATTTTGATCTCTCTCTTTTAGTCAGAAATATGTCTGTATTTTATTTTTTATTTTTTTTTCGTTTTTTTTTTTTATTTTAAAATATTTTTTTTTTTTTTTTTTTTTTTTTTTTTTTTTTTTTTTTTTGAATCAGGGTGAGATATAGATTGTGCTGAGTGATTTAATGATTTTTAATATTGGATATATGCAATCGGGAGTTTTATACGTCCATTAATGTGAAAGGGAATGAATATTAATTGAATCGCTTAGAGAGGAGGAAAGAAAAAATTGGCAGCTTTTCTGTATTTTTAGTTATTGTTTTATTTTTATAGTTTGATTTAATGCGGGGGTGCTGAACAAAATAAATGATTGATCAAATTCGAAAAGCCATAACGACGATCACGAATCCAACAGAGTAACATTTGCACGCTCAAGAGAGATTATCGACAATCGGCCGCTTTATTTGCAATAGCAATTGAAACGGCCACAAGTTTATATACTCTGTGCATGCGCAATGTCCGCGACGCTAATGAATGATCTCTTTTTTTTTTTAAAGTTACTTAAGGTCCGTTAATGCCAAAATCCTAATAGAAATTGTTAGCATCACTTGGCTGAAAGTCAAGTGATGTGAATTTTTCACGACAAGCAAAGAAAAAAGAACGAAAAAAAAAAAATGTAATAATAATAAATAAAACTTCACTTTTTGTAATATGCAATGTCTTATATGAACTTGAAGAGAAATTTTCACTTGTCTTACGTGTGTTTCAGCATGCGAAAGTATAGAAAGAAAAAGACCGACCGAGCATGAATTCGATGAATCAAGCACCGACGCTAATATTATTAATATTAGAGAATAATGATTTTAAAATAAGTGAATTACATTTATAAGGAAAGATTATGAAAATATATATTTATCTATGTCTTCTGTGAAGATAGAAAATAGTACTCTCTCACTTCTATATTGATGATATCAAAAAAAGTAAAAAAAATAATTAAATGAATAAAAAAAAAAAATCCGAATCGAATGAACTGATAAGGACACAAGCATCAGCGGCGTTAATTTAAAATAAAACAAAAGCAAAAGCAAAAGCAAAAGCAAAAGCAAAACAAAACAAAAAAGCAAAAGCAAAAGCAAAAGCAAAAGCAAAAGCAAAAGCAAAAGCAAAAGCAAAAGCAAAAGCAAAAGCAAAAGCAAAAGCAAAAGCAAAAGCAAAAGCAAAAGCAAAAGCAAAAGCAAAAGCAAAAGCAAAAGCAAAAGCAAAAGCAAAAGCAAAAGCAAAAGCAAAAGCAAAAGCAAAAGCAAAAGCAAAAGCAAAAGCAAAAGCAAAAGCAAAAGCAAAAGCAAAAGCAAAAGCAAAAGCAAAAGCAAAAGCAAAAGCAAAAGCAAAAGCAAAAGCAAAAGCAAAAGCAAAAGCAAAAGCAAAAGCAAAAGCAAAAGCAAAAGCAAAAGCAAAAGCAAAAGCAAAAGCAAACAAAACAACAACAACAACAACAACAACAACAACAACAACAACAACAACATCAACAAAAAACAACAAAAAAAATGTAAAAAAAAAAAGGAAAAAAATATAAAAAGCAGCTCGAAACGTGTATAATAAAAAGTTCACCGAACATCCCATATTCAAATTTTGTTGATTAACATTGTATATACTTGCATAAAAATATCTTGAAAGAAATTCTATTGAAAATAATGAATTCCCAGCGGTCATTTTCTGTCGTTTGAATAAATATATATTATAACTTTAACTATTTTTTACTGTGACAATTTAAAAACAAAAAAAAACAAAAAACAAAACAAAAAAAACAAAAAAAAAAGAAGATGAAGATATGTGAGCGATTTTATCTTAACAATAACACTGTTCGTATCGAAGTGATTTTCATAGAAGATGAGCTGACTTTTACGATCCCATACTCGTTTAGCAATGACATTTTGGCTAATCTAAAGTTTTATTGTTTCATAACTGCTTGTCTTGTTCATCCATATACTGGAACTGCCATATCAAAAGAATTGAGCTTGTTCATAAAGACAAAAGGAAATTTTGCGCGAATAAAACATAAAAATTAAATACAAGGTCGACGAAACTTACTTGTATATTATATAATTATCATTAATGAAACGAAACGAGGATCAAAGTAGTTGATTTTAACGAGTAAATGGAATAAAATGAAATGATATATCATTAAATTAGAGGTTTAAAAATATAATAGAACTCAGTATATGTACAGTATTTGAAAAACATGTTTATAATTTGTATGGAAAATAAATAATTGATATAAAATTGTAATGGCTTATTTCTATTCCATTTCATTCCTTCTCCAATACTCTCTTCATTATCAATTAACACGACACTCGTCACTTACTACTATTAATTATTCATATAAACATTTTTTTGAAATTCTACGAGTATCGACAGTACTACTTACATTATACTTTAATATAAATGTTACGTGCATTACTAATATATGCATTATTCACGTACTCTTATAAACTAATTAATCTATATATATTTTCACGTGCTCATCTCGTAATAATACATCACTTTCTCGTTTAATTGCATTGTCCGTCGAAGAATGTATATTACTAATGCATCTAAGTATGCTACCGTTGTTACATTTAATGTTATGCATTTCTGGCAAATCTCATCCTTAGAGGGACGCGACACCTGCTAGTGCAATAATGTATTTTCTTACATAGGATAAAGGACAATGAGCATATTTAAGAAAGACAAATGACTACTGTTTCTTCATTATAATGTAAGAATATGACTCTACATGTATGACGTATGACGTCTTGCTGCAAATTTAGTGGATTTTTGTAATATATCCATTAAAAACTCGATGCTTTTTCAAAATTTTATGTACACTCAAAATCTTCGAAGCGACTACGCTATTTTAACATTACACTAAGTTCCTTAATAATAAAATACTTTCAAATTCAACAAGACTTTATTGTGTTTTTTCTCAATTTTTCTTTACAATATTGTATAACTAATATATAT